AAAAAAGGAAGGGTGCCTTTTCTTGTTTCTTTTGTAGACACCATGACCTTGAACTTGGATGGAATAAAACAGCAGCTTGTTTGGCATTAAACCCGGTGCCTCCTATACTTGTTTCCTATCGCTGCTGTAGCAAATCGCTGTATATCTGGAGTTCAAAACAACACGGGTTTACTGTTACAGTCCTGTGTGTCAGGGGTCTGACACGGGTCTTGCCAGGCTATGGTCAGGGTGCCCTCAGGGCTGCGTTCCTCCTGGTCCCAGGGACAGTCTGTGTCCTTGTGTGCCCAGCTCTGGAAGCTGCCCACCTTCCCAGGTCTGTGGTCCTTCCTTCGGCTTCAGCGTCACCTGTGTCTGACCCTCCTCCTGTCCTCACATTTCTCTCTGGCCACAGCCAGGAAGATTCTCCCATTTCAGGGCCCTCAGTCTTAATCACATCTGCAAAGTCCATTTTGCCTCGTAAGGTGACAGTCACAGGTTCTGGGGATCAGGACGTGGGCATCGTTGGCAACTGTTAAACCTCCTACCACTTCTTCCACCAACTTTCTGATGGTGACTGTGTGTCGGGGTGGATGCCTGACAAATCATGCCTCCAGGGGTGCCGGGCCCACTGCTGGGGGCCTGCCTTGCAGGTGCCTGCCTGGCCTGGCCTCTGTCCCTTCCTCGTCTGTGTGACTAGTGTTGTCAACCTCGGCAGAACGGACATCTGGGGATAATTTTCTGTTGTGTTTGGCAGCATCCCTGACCTCCACCCACTGGATGCCAGTAGCACACTCCCATCCCCCAGTTGTGACAACCAAACATGTCCCCAGACATTGAAATGCCCTTTGGGGGGCAGTGTTGCCCAGTTGAGAATACTGGGTGTGTAACCATGAGACCTAAACAGGAGCCTGAAGGTTAAGCCACCCCGTCCGTCCTGGTAATTGTTTGGCGTGGTACAGATTCTCCCAGCAGTGATCGGTGGTGACTTTGGTCTGTGGTGAAGCGGTCTGTAGTCACTCCTAACCCTGTGCATGCTGCCTGGGCTCTGGCATGGCCTGCCGTGGGACCAGGAAGAGAAGGCGAGTCGTGCCTTTAGGGGCAGCTGTGAGTGCAGAGCCCCCAGGGGCCCAGGGGAGCGGATGCCGTCACTGGGTTGGCACAGTCTTCCCAGGGACACAGTGGCCGCTTGCATTTCACCTGTCTGCCCCCCTTCCACCGTTGTGTTCCTGTGGTTGACCTGTGACCCAGGACGCTCAGCCGTGTCTGACCTTCGACCCCGTGTTACCTGCAGGTGGCCCTGGTACAGTGGACCGAAAGTGTGGGCTTAACCCTGGTGGGCCGGGACCAGTCTTCCATGCAGCTGAGGACCCCTGGCGACCAGATCCTGAACTTCACCATCTTGCAAATCTTCCCTTTCACCTACGAGAGCAAGCGCATGGGCATCATCGTGAGGGTGAGTCCTCTCTGTTTATGACGGGAATAGTTCAGAACCCCCAAGTGCACCATGAATGTCCCCGTGGCTTGACCTTCTTCCGACCCCTTTTTATTATGTCCTCCGTTGCCCAAACTAACAAGGGGATGTGAGTCCCTAAGCAAGTGGTTCTCAACCTTCTGGCCCTTTAAATGCAGTTCCTCACGTTGTGACCCAACCATAAAATCATTTTCGTTGCTACTTCATAACTGTAATGTTGCTACTGTTATGAATCATAATGTAAATATCTGATATGCAGGATGGTCTTAGGCGACCCCTGTGAAAGGGTCGTTCGACCGCCAAAGGGGTCGGGACCCACAGGTTGAGAACCGGCCTAAGCAGACAGAAAAGTCGTTCATTCATCAGACAGCTGGTCAGCTCCTTGTTAACCCCATTCTAGAGCAGTGGTTCTCCACCTCGGCTGCACATGTACAGTGCGATTGAAACTTCGTGGCCACACTCAAGGGGCCAAAGAGCCACAGTTTGCCGACCACTGGTCCAAGGAATATAGACTGAGCACTTCTTGGTAAGAATATATTTCCATTGTATGCTCTTTTGTTTAATTAAATGTATATCTTTTATTGAGGTGAAGTTCATTTAACATGAATGAGCCATTTTAAATGTATAAATCAGTGGCATTTAGAATATTCACAATGCTGTGCACCTTTTTGTCAAGTTTCAGAATGTTTTTATCATCCAAAAGCGAATTTGTAGCCCCTAAGCAGCCACTCCCTGTCTCTTCTTCCCCCTACTCCCTGGCAGTCACTAACCTTTCTGTCTCGATGGATTTACCTATTCTGGGCATTTCATATATTAAGTGGACTCACACAACATGTGGCCTTTTGTGTCTGGTTCCATTCACGTAGCATAATGTTCTGGAGGTTCATCCATGTCCAACAGGTATCAATACTTCATTCCTTTTTATGGCTGAATAGTATTCCACATTGCTATCCATTCATCCATTGATGGGCTGTTGGGTTGTTTGCACCTTTTGACTGTTGTGTCTAATGCTTCCAGGACATGTATGTACAAGAATTATAATACCTGTTTTCAGTTCTTCAGGGTGGAATTGCTGGGTCATGCTTGGTCAGTTACTCAATTGCTGGGTAATTCTATTTTTAAACGTATGAGGAATGTCTAAATTCTTCCTGCAATGCTGCACTATTTTACATTCCAGCCAGCAGTATACGAAGGTTCCAGTTCTTCCGCATCCTCATCAGCACTGTTATTTTCCATGTTTTAAATTACAGCCATCCTAGTGGTTGTGAAGTGGCATTTTATTGTGGTTTTGATTTGTATTTTCCTAGTGACTGATGGTGGGGAACATCTTCATTTGCTTATTGGCCACTTGTATATCTTTCATGGAGAAATGTCTATTTAAGGACTTTGCCCACTTTTTAATTGGGTTGTTTGTCTTTTTGTTGTTTGTTGTAGATAGTCTGGTTACTAGAGCTTTATCCAAGATCCGATATGAAAATGGTTTCTCTCATTCTATAGGTTGTCTTTTACTTTATTGATAAAATTCCTTTCATGCACAGACGTTACTAATTTCGAATAAGTCCAGCTTGTCAGTTTTTTCTTTTGTTGATTTTGACGAGGTATCATATCTAAGAGTTCATTGGTAAATCCAAGGACATGAATTTACTCCTATGTTTCCTCCTAAGGGTGTTGTCGGTTTTACTTTTTAGGCCATTGATCCCTTTGGGGTTAGTTTTTGTATATGGTGTGAGGTAGGCGTTCAACTTCATTCTTTTGCATGTGGAGCTCCAGTTGCCCCAGGACCATTTATTGAAGACACTCTTGTTTCCCCATTGAATAGTCTTAAATTAAATATTTTTAATGGGTTTTCATTTGTGCAATCACAACATTATTGAAGAAATGTTTACTCAGCTTCATTTGCCCTATTTATTTCAGAACTTCTCTTTATGCTTTTGTAACTTTTATTGAACTACAGCATACACAGAGAGAAGCACAAACATCTGAAATGTGTGCACCTCAAGTGCTTACAAAGTTAACACACCCATGCAGCCAGCCTCCAGAGCAAGGAACAGAAGCCCCCCACCATCATCCTTAGCTCCCTCGTGCCCCATTTCTGCTCACTACATCCCCCTCCCTACAAGGATATAACTACTGTCCCATCTCTGTCATTGATTAATTTTGTCTCTTGTTGAACTTTATGTAAAGGAAATTGTACAGTAGATACCCTTTTGAATTTGAATTCATTTGCTCAAATCTTTACTTCTAAGATTCACCCATATTTTTGCATGGATTGTAGCTCAGAAATTTTCTTAAAGAAATAGAACAGGCATTCAATCGAAGTCTCCCCATCTGCCACTCCTAGAAGTGTCTCCTGCACCAAGTTCCTCATTCTTAGGAATTTAAAAATACTGTTATCAGACATGTTGAGTATAAATAATGTATATCATGGAGTTACATATTTTTATTCTCTCTCTAAGAGGCATTGTAGTCCATGTATCATTTTTGCACTTCCTGCTTTTTGTTTAACACTAACTAAACTTAATGCTAAATTTACACCCACTTCATTAAGCTTAGCTGATTTCTGGTACTGCATTTTGTGACTATGCCCCTCTTCCTTCCGTCTTTTGCGCTTCTCTCTTGATAGCTGCCACTAGCAAGAGCACAGCTCTGCGTAGCCTTGTCTGCTCGAGGCTCCATTGTACAGACGTCAGTTTCTCTATGCAGTTCTCCCAGAGGGAGAGTTGCTGGGTTGTAGAATATGCACATCTTTAACTCTGCCAGGCATCCTCGGCTCTTTCCCCAAAGGGCTTGCTCTAATCTCAGTCCCCCCCCCCCATGCTCCCCCACATTGGATAGTGTCAGACTTTTACAGTGTTGCCTGTCTGAGGAGTCTGAATGAGCATCTTGTCTGCCTACTTGCGCTTTTACTCATAGAGACCACACTTTCCATCCAGGGGAGCCTGAGAACCCTGGGGTCATAGGCCACTTTCTTCTTAAACCTGGCTGGCCACCAGCATTGCCGGGGCGCTCAGTGCGTGCAGGTGACCTGGTGCCATCCCAGTCCTGCTTGGTCATTGGGCGGTTGCTGGTGTGTTTAAGGTTCCGTGCACTATCTGGCATGGCTGGAGAAAACTCTGCCTCAGATCATGAGAATCTTTGGAATAAGAGTCTCATTTTTTTCTGGATTTAAAAAAATACCCTACAAATGAGGACCTCTACCACCCTATCTACACAAGTCTTTCTTGCCCTAGGGATCCAAGTTGTAGATTCTATTACAGTCATTAGTAATAGTAGTATTAGGAATTGGGAATAGTAGTAATAGCCTGCAACCTGGGCATGTGCCCTGACCAGGAATTGAACCGTGACTTCCTGGTTCATAGGCCGATACTCAACCACTGAGCCACGCTGGCTGGGCCCAGCAGGTGCGTTTACACTCCATGGGGTGTGTGTCCTTGGCACTGGGGGGCTGGAGGGAGCTCCCCTCCCACATACCTGCTGCTTTTCTCCCTGGTCTCAGCCTCTATGACCCGGGGCCTCCGCATCGTCAGCACACATCTCCTGTCGGGAGCACCCGTGGCCTCGGAGCCACAGCGTAGAGCCTGGGGAATTAGAGCCATTATCTCCTGTGGAGTCACTTTAACTTCGTTCCAGCCTTTATTTTTCCAAGTGTGAGGCCAAGGGCTCTGCTAAAGTCATTTCAGGGTTGAATCATCAGGCCCCCCTATCAGCCATCCTAGAACGAGTGGGCAGCGTGCACCCGCCCTTCCTCTAGTGGGAAGGGACTCTCATTCCCAGACACTTTGTCAGGTGTGGCCCCGTGTCTTCCCACAGCAAGAACGGGACTCATGCCTGGAAGTGGGATACTGTTGGGTGGGCAAATGCATCATCTGAAAACAGCACTCCCTCCTACCCAGGTTACTCCCTCCTGCAGGTGATAAAAAAGTCAGCATTCAGTTGACATTTGGAACAAATAATTATATAAAGAAGATCAAAACTACTTGTCTTTATTTTCCCACCAAAGGCGGTCGCGGTGACCTTCTCGGAGAATTTCCCATTGATAAGATCAAAGCTACTTGTCTTTATTTTTCCACCAAAGGCGGCCGCGGTGACCTTCTCGGAGAATTTCCCATTGATTTTTTCCAAGCATATGAGCGTGTATATCTGTGACCATTTTTAAAAAAAATATTTTTATTGATTTTTTACAGAGAGGAAGGGAGAGGGATAGAGGGTTAGAAACATTGATGAGAGAGAAACATCGATCAGCTACCTCCTGCACACCCCCTACTGGGGATGTGCCCACAACCAAGGTACATGCCCCTGACCGGAATCGAACCTGGGACCCTTCAGTCTGCGGGCCGACGCTCTATCCACCGAGCCAAACTGGTCAAGGCACTGTGACCATTTTTATAAAGTTGGCATTGAACTCCACAGGAGGCTTCCTAAACTGCTCCTCTCCAGTGAGCTATGCACGGTGAAAATGTTCTCCTATTGTTAAAACATGATTTTTTAACACGACTTTTAATGTGTGCATAGTGTTTTGTTGGAAGAAAGCGTACCATTATTTAATTGAATATATCTATTTTTGGGTGCTTAGGTTGTTTTTCATTTCACGCTGCTGAAGGCACACATATGAGCAGCCATCTTGGGTTGGCTGTCTTGGACGCGATGCATATTATTTTGCTAATTTTTCTTGGTTTCTGACCTGCCTTCCTCCTTCTCTTTGCTTTTGATGGGTGGAAGTCAGCACCCAGGGCGTTTGGACCAGTTTTGCATTTTGCATGACTCTCACCCAGGTTCTCATGCTGGGGCCACCTTGCCCGCAGGGGACGTCTGCAAGTGCCTGGAGACAGTGTTGGTTGTCTCAGCTCCAAGGGTGGCATCTGGTGGGTGGAGGCCAGAACAGCCTCCTCACAAAGAATCCAGCGCCACTATTCTCTTTGGCGGGGCCGGGAGCTGAGTGTGAACGTGTCCATACATCCTGTCTGTTATTTGAAAGTCACCGTCCGTTACCTGATGTGACGACGTTTCAGTCACTGATAGAAGCTCTTGGTTTACTTCGTGACTGCAGAGTTTGGGTTTGCTCTCGCCTGGTTCATCAGCCCTCTCAAACGTGTGGGCTCCTGGGCAGGACGCGGTGGTACCGCCTGGTGCTCACAGAGCGAGGCCGGGTCTGCGTGAGTCTCTCTCCTCAGGAGGTGGGCACGGCTCAGAGGAACCAGCTTCTTCGGGGCTCGCGTGCTTGTCCTTCGGAAGGGACCGGCCTGCCCTGCTTTTCTTCTGCACAAGATGTCCCACCGCCTCCCCACGTGGAGCGACGCCGTCGGGCCGTTGGCGTAGATCATCCCCTTGTCATTGTTTGAACAGAGGAGGCCTTTGAACAGGTGCCAGCACCAGACCACAGTGGAAAAAGACGAGGCCCCCAAACCATGCCACACACCCGGCAGAGCTCTGTAAATTTATAGCGTCATCTTGCCATAACATGGGAAAGAAGTAACCTGGTGATGAACTTGGTGGGAGGAAATGACTAAGGGGAGGAGACAGTCAGCGCAGTATTGACATTGGAAGGGAGGCTGAGCTCTCTGAGTCCCTGCTGGAGGAGAGGAAGCCGGGGAGGGGCCTCATTTCCTACCGCGCTCTTGTTCAGCACCATGTGGGTGAAGGGGAAGGAAAAAAAACTCCGAGGCTTTCATGTTCAGACCCCACAGCTCTCCTTGGCCTGAGTCACCCGCGAGCCTGGGCACGATCTGTCGGCGATAAGGCACACCGCCCGGAGCTTTCAGACGCAGCGGGCGCTCTGTGGCGGGCGGTGCTTTTCTGAGTAATCATGTTGTTCTAAAAAGATCCTCAGTGATTAGAGGGCTTGAAAGTTAGTTTAAAAGCGGAAGCTGTACCACTGATTTGGCGGTGTGCTTCCTTTGTATGAAGCGTTAACAGGCACGCATTCTGGGTATCTGGGCAGTAGAATTTAGGCCCCGGGAGGTGTGTGTGTGTGTGTGTGTGGGGGTGGTGGTGGTGGTGGTGGTGGTGGTGGTGATGGCCACGCTCAGTTCCCTTGCCCTGGATGAAGCCTCCAGCCTCCGGCCTCCCCATGATGGGCATCATCGAGGAAAGAGTCGTGTAAGGGGCAGGAACCAGCGATTTCCCCGTCATCCCTCCGAGCCAGCAGTCCTCAGCGTTGGCGCTGTGGGCCTTTGAGGCCGGGTGGTTCTTGGTTGTGAGTCGGTCCTGTGCACTGTAGGATGTTCAGCAGCCTCCCTGGTCTGTACCCACTAGACTTCAGCAGCACCCCCCTCCCCCGCCCCCACTCTGACAACCAAAAATGTCTCCAGACATTGCCCCATGTCTCTGGGCAAGGGGTGGGGGGGGATTACCCCCATTGAGGACCTCTGTGCTGATAAGCCTCCTCCACATACAGAGTGACTGAGGGCTATGGAGTTACTGCCACTCAAGCGGAAGGGGGTGCGGGGGGGGGCATTTCCTGTGTGTCTGGCCCTTTGCTACATGCTCTACATAGATGGTCTCCTTTAAGCCACATACACCTCTGCAGTAAGAGTGGTTAGGGTCCCTATTTTACAGGTGAGGAAACCGAGGTTTAGAGAAAAGATGTAGCTTGTCCCGTGAGGGGATCGGCTGGGGCTGGTACCAGGTTCGAGCATTTGATGGCTGTACAGTGGGTTACCCACTCCCCAGAAAGCCTGGCCAGGCGGACTGAAACTCCCTAGCCCAGTGCTCAGCTACACGTTGGGTGGGCGGGGTGGGGGGTGGCGTCATGTAGGTTTTCAGTGGAGGTTCTGCCTCCCAGGGGACATGCGTTCATGTCTGGAGACATTTTGTGGGTCTCCCTGGGGTGCTGCTGGTGTCTGGTGGTGGAGGGCCAGGGATGCTGCCGGAGACCCTGCCCGCACTGCAGAGAGTTCTCCAGGTGAGTGTCGTGGTGCCAGGGCTGAGCAGCCCTGGTCCAGGGGATTGTCTCCGGTCTGTGGGGGGCGGGGGGCGCCATGGTGACACTGGCAGGCCAGTGTGTAAACGGAGTTATCTTACAGCGTGGGAGCTGTTCCTGCTGGAATGGTAGTTACTTAAAAAAAAACAAAAACAAAGTTCTTACATCCTTTTGATCTTGCTTTCATCATTTAATAATTTTTCAAATGCTCTGAGTTTTCTGCTATTTTCCGTGGCCTTTGCCCCAAAGCGAGGCCCCCTCTGGCTTTTTATCTCTGGCCAAGTGGAAAACATGGGCGTCTGCTGAACACACGGGGCACACCAGCTGTCAGGGGAAGCGGGCACTGGAGCCGGCGGGCGTTCCTCCCGCTCACTCCTGCCTTCCGGCCCCTCTAGGATGAATCAACGGGGGAAATTACCTTCTACATCAAGGGAGCTGACGTCGTCATGGCTGGCATCGTGCAGTACAACGACTGGCTGGAGGAAGAGGTGAGCGTGATGTGGGCGTGGGAACCGGCCTTGCCGGCACCTCTGGAGGCCTGCCCTCACAGGGGGTCAGGAGGGGGGTCCCTGTATTCGTTCTCCACGTAGCACATCACCCCAAAATGCTGCAGCTTCGCATAACACGTTCAGTTCTCGCCGTTTCTATGGGTCAAGCATGCGGGCACAGCTTGCCTGGGTCCTCCACCGGGTCTCTCACAGGCTGCAGTCAAGGGGTTGCCTGGGGCTGGGGTCTCATCTGAAGCCTCAGCCGGGGCAGGACCCTGTCCGGACTCAGTGGTCACGGGCAGGAGTCCGCTCTTCGGTGGCTGTTGGCTAGAGGCTGCCACGTTCCTTGCCACGTGGACCTTTCCGTGGGACAGCTCCCAGTGCGCAGCTGGCGTTGTCAGCGGGGGAAGCGAGGGAGCAGGACGGGGCGGGGAGAGGATGTTACCTGCCCTCGGTAGGGACCTCCCCTCACTTCGCCACACTCTTTGCTGGGAACAGGCCACTGGGTCCAGCACACACTCATGGGAAGTGACTATACGAGGGTGTGGATATTGCATCTTCGATTGGGTGGTTTGCAAACACAAATGCCCACAGGGCCAGGCGGGTAACGCAAACGGAACTGGCCGGGCCATGTTTTCCTGCCAGGGTCACGTTTTGTGTGTGAAAGGCACGGGCATGGTGTCAGCTCGATGCCTGCTTTCCGGCAGCCCATGGAAGCGGCTGCCTGTCACCGTCAGCTGCTGTGGTTACTTGGGAACACGTGCTCAGTGTGTCAGAGGTTCCGTTTTCCCAACAAGCCGGAAATCCAGATTTTCCTGTGCCGTGTTATACCCGTGACTTAAATTTTGGAACAAACGGTGCCCATCACAGAAACTGTAGGTTGTGTGGCCTGTGGGTCATGCCACGACCTCCCCTTAGAAGGTTCACTCAGGGAGACGGCTTTGGGGAAGGCAGGTCTGGTGGCGGTGCGCTGTCCCCACGGCCGGGGCCTGTCCCCTTCAGCGCCCGGCCCTCCTCCACGAGCGTCAGGGCCCGGGCAGAGCCTCAGTGCAGCCCTGCTGACCGCCCTCTGCTTCACAGTGTGGGAACATGGCCCGAGAGGGGCTGCGGGTGCTCGTGGTGGCGAAGAAGTCTCTGGCCGAGGAGCAGTATCAGGACTTCGAGGTGAGTGGTCCTGTGACGGTTGCTTACTCTCAGCCCTGCCCCCCTGCCGGTCATCTCCTCCAGCTGCCCCTCACTCCTCCTGCTCTTGCCACCCTCCTGTCACTTCCGAGCACAGTCAGGTTCACTCCTGTCCCTGGCCTTTCCACTTGCTCTCTGAGTGCACAGAACTCTCTTTCCTTCTGTCGCTCCGTGGCCCACTCCCTCACTCCCTTTGGCTCTCAGCTCAAATGCCGCCGCCTCTGAGAAGTCCTCCTGGACTCCCCACCTAAAGCAGCCCCACCTCAACTCTCGCCACCCTTCACCCCATTGAACTTTCTTCATTGCACTTAACAACATCTAGAATGACCATATACATAAACATTAACGTATCTTTTCTGGAATAGAATCTTTTTGAGAGCACTTTGTCACTCTGCTTGGCTCTTATAGCCCCAGCGTTTAGGCTGGTCATCGGCACATAGCACACCTCCTGGAAAATTTGGAATGAGGCCCTAGTTTTTTAAAGCTGTAAAAAATATTAATGTTGAACCAGATCATTGACTTGCACAGCCAAGGGTTCCAGCATAAATATGTCATCTTGTCCCATAGATCGTGTGTCCCTCGAAGGGAAGTGTCTTTGTTAGGTCCCCAGTCCTGGCATAAAGCCAAGCGCGCACACGCATGCAAGACGGGAAGGGAGGGGTGAGGCTGGGGGACAGGCTCTGGGCCCTTGTCCTGTTCCCCCCCGAGAAGCTGTGCTTGTCTGTCTCTTTTATGTGTGAGTTCTTCATACAGTTTTAATTAACAAGAGGCCTCGCCCTGATCAAGTCCACCTTCCTTTCCATTTTAAAGGCATCCGTTTCGAGTCGGCCCATGAGGGGCCTTTGATTTTCCTCTAGGTCTTTGCCAGCACTGGGAAGAGGGGAGAAACAGAAGGGTTGGGTCGATAGTCTTCTGAAGTGGGACTTCGTCAAGGATGCTTGGCTACAAAGTGTGTTTTGTGCGGGAGAACCTACTGCTTTTCTGAGCTCTTGAGTTGTGCCCGTCCTTGCAACAACCCAGTGAGGTTGGGGCTGTTATTGCAGCTTCTGGGTGAAAACAATAGAGGCTCAGAGAAGTTAAGCAACTTGCTGGAAGTTGCACAGCAGGTGGGTGTAGAGCCAAGGGTGGAACTCAGGTCTGTCCAACTCTCGTGTCTGGACTGTGAACTTGGGAGGGACCGAAGCCTCCGTGTCATCCCTCTGAGGGCTACACCAGGTGCTGCGGTGGGACCAGCATGCCGTCCCACTCGGCGTCGGACAGCCTTGCACCTCCCCACCCTAAGCGTGTCCCCTGCTGTGTCCCAGGCTCGCTACGTGCAGGCCAAGCTGAGCGTGCACGACCGTTCCCTCAAAGTGGCCACGGTGATCGAGAGCCTGGAGATGGAGATGGAGCTGCTGTGCCTGACGGGGGTGGAAGACCAGCTGCAGGCAGACGTGAGGCCCACGCTGGAGACGCTGCGGAACGCCGGCATCAAGGTAGGTGGCCTGCTGCGGCCTGGCTGCTGAATGACCGCCCCGGAAATGGGCTCCGGATTATACAGCTGTCCCTTGAGCGGAGTGCAAAGGTGGGAGATGGAAGGGGGGAGGGGACGTGTGACAGAGGGAGCCAGGCATGCAGGGACTCCAGCCCTGTCTCAGGTGGGCCTCTCGTCACCTCCCGCCCCGGCAGCCCTGCGCGTTTGCTTTCCTGGCTGGCCTTCCTGACCAGGCCGGCTCCACGCAGGCAGGACCGCCCGCGGCTCCTCCTCCCTCCGTGCCAAGTGTGTCCACTAGGTCCCTGTGAGTGGCCAGCCAGCCAGCCTCTGTCGGTGCGTCTGGGTGGATGGGTGACCACCTAACAGAGTGACCGCCTGCCCCAGCAACTGCCATGTTTACGCTTTGTACTCTACTCTTTGGGGCCCTCAAATGTCCAGTAGTTTAATCGGGAGAGGCCAGGAGAGGGCGTCTGGGAGCCTGCAAAGGATCAGCGAACTTCCTGGCTCAGCGCCCCTGAGAACACGTGTGTGTTTGCCAACCGCCTCGCCCCAAAGCAGCTCTGGGCTGCGTCCTCGGGCCTGCATTCGGCAGAAGCGCGTGTGAGCTGGGCCATGCGAGCTTGTGGATTAAGACCGGCCACAGGGTGCTCCGGGCACGTCCATGCCCATCGGGGGCTCCCGTGTGTGCGAGCGTGGATTTTTGTAAAACAAACGCTGTCACCTACCTTTGGCTCATAGGAAACTGACAGCGAGATCCCAATTTTGAAAAAACGGCCTGATGTCAGAGGGCCCGTTTCTTTTGCGTTGTGGTGTTTAAACTTTGTCCCTGGGCCATTTCCAGGACCTCCCTATTGGGACCTCGCTGAGCTGCTTTGGGGCAAGTCACCTCTCTGCCCCCACAGCAGTGAGGGATCTGTTCCGAGGTTGGAACCTGGAGGTCCACCACCAGCCTTTTATAGTCAGGGTTAACCCCACGGGATTCCTGACCGGCATCCGACCAGGTAGAAAGACCATGTGTCTGTGACAAGCCTGTGTTTCCTGTGGGACCTGGAAGTGACCCCTCACCCATGCAGGCTCCCCTTTCTTAGAGATCAGTTATGACTTTAAGAAAAATTCCCAGAAGAGGGGTTGTGAGGCCAGAGGCCGGGCTTCATGATGTCTCCTGAAGCGTGTGGCCCAGCGTCTGCTGCCACCAGGGGTGGTCACGCCCCATCCTAACGGCCTTGAATGGGGTGTTTCCTGTCACGTGTGGGGGCCCCGTGAGCCTCGAGGAGGTAAACGGGACACACTAAGTTCAGCTCGATGTTCCGGGAAACTTGGCCGACGCAGGCGACAGGCCGCCTTTAACAACACTAACCGCGGGGACCTCTTTCATGCGGCGACTCCAGGTTTGGATGCTGACGGGGGACAAGCTGGAGACAGCCACATGCACAGCGAAGAACGCGCATCTGGTGACCAGAAACCAAGACATCCACGTGTTTCGGCTGGTAAAGCGTTCTCTGCGGGGGGCCTCACGGGGGGTGTGGCTGCAGTTTGCCTGTAACCTCGTGACCTCATAACCTCGAGGGGGCCCCCAAGAGGGGAGCACGTTAACCTGCTGGGCGGGGGCTTCCACGGTCGGTTTGGGAGGAGTCACTGATGAGCCAGTGAGGCCGGAGTCTCCTTCCGGTGGTGTCTCCGGAGCACCCCGTCCCGTCCCGGCCTGTGTGGACGCGTGGCCTTAACCTGGTGGGGTCATGGGCCCTTTGAGAGGCTGCTGGAAGTAGGCAGGTGGCGTGAGGATGCAGATAAGTGCGTGCATGTGGAATTGTACCTAGGAGCCCAGGGTTTCACCAAGTCCTTGAAGGCCAGTCCTGGGGTAAGAAATAAGGTCCAGATCACAGTGTTGGCCTGAAGGAACACCTGGGAGCCTGGAGAAGGAGGTGTGTTGGGTGGGCACAGAAGTGGCCCCAAACAAGCAGGCATTAGGAGCCCCGAGGCTGGAGGCAGGGGCTGTGCCTGGCCTTACTGAGCTGAGGTGAGGAGCAAGTCCCTCTGGGGCAGGGTCCCACTCATCTGAAACCGGAGCCACCATACCAACAGCTGCAGGGACCTCGGTGTTTGGGGGTCTCCCTCTCACCCCGGCCTGTGGTCCATAGCACGTAGAAGCTCCAAGAAGGCCAGCTGTTTGGGGAACAGCACACAGTGTTGCTCAGAGGCAGATGCGGTGGATCCTCATTGTTCACGGGATCTGCTGACAAACCCGCCTACTCGCTAAAATCGATCTGTGACCCGAAAAGCAGTGCTCAGTGCTTTCCGAGTCGCTGGGGTCAGGTGCGCGTGGTGCAGTCCGAGTCGTGCACGTCCGCTGAGGCGAACAGGGTGGGTCCGCCGTCTTGTTTAGCGCTCACGCTGCACACGGTGTCTTTTTCACGGCCCATGTAGGGCCACTGTTTTGCATTTTTGTGCTTTTTGTTAGCGATTTCCCTGTGTGAGATGGCCCCGGCACAGTGGTGAGGGATGGCCACTGTTCTGAAGCACAGGAGGGCTGCATGTGCCTCACGGAGGAAATGTGTGGCTTAGCTAAGCCTCTCTCAGGCCCGTGTCCAATGTTGTTGGCCACGAGTTCAGTGTTAAGGAATCAACAAATATGTCCGCAAAAAAGACATTAAAGCAGGAGCACACATAACACGAGGTTATGTACTGATCGGGTGGCAAGAGATACCGTGAGCGGAGGCTGGCAGGAGCCATGCCTATGCTTCCTGGGGGCCTGGTCGTGTTGCTGGCTCAGCGTTCAGGGCGGGGCCGTGCCGAGCGTAACTCACAGCTCATGAGAATCCACTGCACGTCCCAGAAGTCAGCGCCTGCAGACCGTGGCTCTCGTGCTAGCGCCCTGTTGTGGGAAACAGCTTTACCTAAATGCGGGTACGCCCGTTGTTTCCATAACTGTCGGAGGCTGCTTTGTGGCCTATGGAGCCCGCAGGAGTTCACATCTGTCCTGCGTGGAAAGCCGCCTCCCCTGCCGGGTGCCCGCACGCGGCGTTCTCGCTGTGTGTTTCAGGCAGGCTGACACACATGCCCTGCCTCAGTTTCCTTACATGTAAGGGGGCGTGGCGTCCTGTGGGGAATGCTTGGGAAAACACGGGAGTGCAGGGCAGGCCTGGCACAGGCAGAACCTGCAGTCCTTCTTGTTCTTGTTTTATTTTTATTTATTTATTTATTTTTTAAAAATATATTTTATTGATTTTTTACAGAGAGGAAGGGAGAGAGATAGAGAGTTAGAAACATCGATGAGAGAGAACGGAATCGAACCTGGGACCTTTCAGTCCGCAGACCGACGCTCTATCCACTGAGCCAAACCGGTTTCGGCTTGTTTTATTTTTTTACGTGGTCACAGCCGTCCTGGGGAAACGCAAGGTGACAGACAGGCTCTCCGGTCCCCACAGAATCATCACGAACAGGATTTAATTTGGCTCTGGGTCCGGTGGCAGGGGAGGGGCAGGGGTCCTTGGCCAAGTGGCCATTGTCTTCACGCGGCTCCAGGAAGCCACTGTTTGTTGTTCTGCGGTCTCCGAAGAGCGAGGCCGCCTCACCCCTCGTTCGCTTCCAGGTGACCAACCGCGGCGAGGCCCACCTGGAGCTGAACGCCTTCCGCAGGAAACACGACTGTGCCCTGGTCATCTCTGGAGACTCCCTGGAGGTAGGACCGCCTGGTGCCCCTTCCTGCTGCCGTGAGCGAAGTGACCTTGCTGACCCCCCTCCCTCCCCAACAGATCTGCCTCAAGTACTACGAGTACGAGTTCATGGAGCTGGCCTGCCAGTGCCCGGCCGTGGTCTGCTGTCGCTGCGCCCCCACGCAAAAGGCCCAGATCGTGCGTCTGCTGCAGGAGCGCACGGGGAAGCTCACCTGTGCAGTAGGTAGGCTAGTCACCTGGCGGTAGGTAGGCTAGTCACCTGGCGGTAGGTAGGCTAGTCACCTGGCGGTAGGTAGGCTAGTCACCTGGGGGTAGGTAGGCTAGTCACCTGGGCGGTGCGGTAGGTAGGGTAGTCACCTGGGCGGTAGGTAGGGTAGCTCACCTGGGCGGTAGGTAGGGTAGTCACCTGGGCGGTAGGTAGGGTAGCTCACCTGGGCGGTAGGTAGGGTAGTCACCTGGGCGGTAGGTAGGGTAGCTCACCTGGGCGGTAGGTAGGGTAGTCACCTGGGCGGTAGGTAGGGTAGCTCACCTGGGCGGTAGGTAGGGTAGTCACCTGGGCGGTAGGTAGGGTAGCTCACCTGGGCGGTAGGTAGGGTAGTCACCTGGGCGGTAGTAGGGTAGCTCACCTGGGAGGTAGGTAGGGTAGCTCACCTGGGAGGTAGGTAGGGTAGCTCACCTGTGCAGTAGGTAGGGTAGCTCACCTGGGAGGTAGGTAGGGTAGCTCACCTGGGCGGGTAGGCTGCAGCTTGAGCCTGTCCCACCGGCATGCTGGGTCCATTTTCTGGCGCGGTAATTGGGTCCTGCGGCTGTGTTCTGCACACTCCCCAGGCCACTTTGCTCGGGTCTTGATATCTTCCTCCACGGACTTGGCTCTGTTTTGTAATAATTATGATTTTGCTCTTTC